AATTTGCCACAGCACGTTTCCCCAGCAACCTCCCAGCGCTCGATCGTACAGTTGGGGGAGCAGCTATGGTTTGCAAATCGCGCCATTCCACCAACGTAGCTCGCATCGATCACCTCACTTGTTGTAGCTGCTATACCGTAGGTGTGAGCGGAACGATGACCGTCCTGCCGATAGAATATTTCACATTATTAGTAGGTTAAAATACATGATGAGTGACGACTTACCTTTAACTCTTGGTGCAGGTAGGCTGCTTGACTTAGTATTTCTCCAACATATTGAAAAACTAAGGCGTCTTCCTCAAACCTCTCTGCCGCTACCAATGCAATGCCTTTTCCAGGACGACGCTCAAGCGATAAATCGGCATGAATACCTCGTTGCATCCGTTGATTGCCGCATTTAATTTTTGTAGTGCAGTGACCGACCGTTTGCGTCTGAAAGCTTTGACTAGACTCAACGGTAGTGAACATAGTTAAAGGCGCCTACCGCACGATTCTCGCAGCTTGACACACACGTCAGCTCCCAATCGGCGAGCGAATCGCATCTGCAGTATGAAATGCCGTTCTACCGCAAAAACTTCCCGTTCAGTATAATTGTAGACAGACCTACCGGAGCCCTAGCCGCTACCGTAGTTTTGTGGCGAGATCTTGACACGTATACGTTTTGAGACACCTCCTCATATTTAGCAAAGGCCTGTAAAGTTGAACGCTCCGATTGCACCTAGAGCAGGTTAGATCATGACACCCAAACGACAACGGCATTAAGCATCATACCTGAACTCTCGCCAAAGTGCACCGTGTTAGGTTCATTGCCCTCGCCAACGAGAAATTGATCAATCTTCAGCTGCTTCATGCCTCAGGTATGGAGGCGTGATCGGAAGCCGGCTAGAATGAAAATGACGCAGCCAAGCCACCGCGCCATAACTAGATACTATTGTACTACACACATACGTAACCTATCTTGCTCCTTTGTCGAATGATTTTCGAAACCGGGTAATAGTAACACTAACACGAGGACGATGAGTTTGTTTTCATGGTTTTCAAGAGGTTAACCAAACATCTTCACAAACCACGCTACATATTCTGCCCTTCGCATTTGGTTACCGATGTAGTTGGTAGTTTTTCGATTATACATATGAATCCGCGCGTTAGTGCACAAATTTCACCTCTTGCAGTTTGCGTACGCTTCCTGGACAAGCGCACTCCCTCCTTCATGGGTGTCGCTTGCTGCGCATCGTCACTGGCTTGTTTGCCGTTGCCATTTCAACATCGTTCTCGATGGCACACGGAAATAATAGCGACTTGCGGGTAGCAGATTGCGGCGAGCCCTCTGCAGATAGTTTTTGTCTCTTGACTGGTGGTCCAATTTCACGATTCTTGTCGCGGTCGCCGATCTCAAACTGCACACTCCCCTTCGCTACCCCATCATTTATCCCGACGAATTCAACATGCTGGATTACGTACAGACTATCAACACGGAATACCATGTTTTCATTCCTACCAGGAGCGCTTTTCATTTTGTCATCACAGACGATCACCTGCACAAACTTCTGCTTCTCTGGATATGATGTTTCACCAGTGACAACACGCTTCATTGCATCAACTAGAATAACGCGAGTTCCATTGATGCCTTTCAGACGCTTTGTCAAAATGCAGCATAGCTTTAGAGTAACACCATCGTCCGCCATAGGACGTGTAAATATGATGAAATCACGGAAATCTTCAACTCGGGAAAACAGGTTGACCGCCTCCACCTCCATTTGCTTAAGAACATCTCTCTGAATAGTTTCAAGGAGCTCCATTTCTGTGGTGTGGCGCGAAGGACGAAGAATCGAAAGTGAGGCTTACTAGACAGTATTAACTCGTATCGTAACATACGGAGTTGCCAGAGCATCAAGTTCAACTCACTTTTTAGCCTACAGCAATAACGACATACATGCATTTTCTAAATAAACGTCGTCCTGGTACACTTCATGTGTTCAGCTTCACAGCATCCACAATAGCAACGCACTAAATAGGTAGTTAGATAGAGCGACAGAAAGATTGCCATCTCAATAGTATTGACTATCGCACATTTTACTGTCCAGGTTAGTAGTTTGTAAGACAAAAAGCAACCATGCGATGCTCTATTGAGCTTCCCTTAATGACCGCATCCCTTTGTGTTGTGTTGCTGCATTGCGTTGCTGTCGACCCAGTTGGATGCGTGTTGCTTCTTGGGCAAGTTGGATGGGATAGAGATCATCACGTTTCAACGAGGGGCGTTACCGCGGTTGTGCGTAAGGGCTGCAATCTTCATGGCGCTGATGGTTTCCAGTGCAGCCTTTGCTGTTCGGCTTACAGCCGCATTAACGCGCTTTTCCTCATTTTCAAATGCGGCTACATGTAGAGCACTTGCCGTCAAGTCTCTTAATGCGAGCGGGTGTGTGATGACGATAAAGCGTCGATGCTTAATGCGCGAAAGGGCAACATACGCAAAAATAACGTTGGGAATTGAATTTGTGTGAAATACCACGCGCTCGCAAGTCTCGCCTTGAACTTTGTGGACTGTCATCGCATATGCTAATCGGAGGGGAATGCCTTTGCGCACTACGTGCAAATCGGTAGACTTCTTCGCCCATTGGATTTCTTTCGGGACAATGGGGGATAATGTTTGATACTCCTTCCAGCAATGAAGGGCCCAGGTAGGAATCCGTTATTTGAACAAGAATCATGGGTAGATCACTCCCAGCAGTAAACATGAAGTCATATATTTTAGCGTTTGTACCATTACAAAGTTCGGCGGTCTGGGCCATATTAAACGTTAGCATGACAGGAGCACCTATGCAGAGTTTCAATTGATTAACAACAACTCTATCGTGATCACAGTTTTTGGTCTTTGCGTCCTGTATGAGTGCTTGCACGGTTTGTGGTGGAATGTCGCGCTTAGCTACCAATCTCTTTTGCTGGACAAAATGCTGTGAATTAATATTAACAACAGTTTCATTTGCAGCTAAAAGATTTGCTTCATTTGCAGTATCTACATCTACGTTTTTGCATGCTATGTGATTTGCTGTTGCAGTCCACGCCGACTCCTCAATGACCTGGAGACACCGCGAGTTGAATAAATCGACATCTGCTTGTGTAGATTGTTTCTGCCGTAAACGACGAAGTGCAGCAAACCATTGTGGGTCTAATTTACCTCTGTTTTGGCTAGTTAATTTACACACGTTCTCAATGCCCTCCCAAATTTCCTTTCCGCGTCGTTGCACGTCATTTGATATTTTTATGTTTTGGTGCTGACAAAGAGAGCGGAACCACGGGATCTACGGGATCTAATTGAGCTGCATTTCCGGTGAAGTAAATATCGCGGCCGCCAAATGGCTCGTCGGAGTGATCAGGCCAAATTTCGCGCATTCTTCTGTCTATCCAATAAAGCATACCACATATCATACTAAACTCGTCTATTATCACTAAATGAACATCTTTAAATTGCTGTTGCATGCTTTTTTAGCTTCGCGGGACCGCCTTTGCTTTCTGTTAATTTTCTGTACGGAACTGAGAATGCTGACTTCGAAAAAGATGAAAAGGAAACGCCGAGCAAATAGTAGTACCTTTAATATTGAATGCGGCTGTGCCTTGATTTGCCAACAGTAATGCTCGTTTTGATGTTCGTTGCGTTAATTTATGCTCTTCAAACACAGTATGCATATCTTTAATAATGTGACGGATAAACCAGCTTTTGCCTGATCCCCCCTTCTCCATTTATTATCATACGAAGCAGTTTACATGTTGACTTATCAAGCAAACATTTAAAGCGTTGACTTGATTGCTTCATGGCAAGAGCAAATGGGTCCCATTGCGATTCAGCCATTATTTCCTTTATATCCAAGTTGGCCTCGGTATTACTACGGGATATGGACAACTGGCAATAAGGGGGAGCCAAGAACAGTGTAACGATGATTGTTACGATCAGCTTGCCAGAGTCGTGCACGAACTTATGGCCGACTTCA